CCTGGAGTGGTCTCTGCCCTTCCCTCTTCCCTCTAATACAAGACTTTCCCATCTCGGCCCTCACTGGCCGAGCTGCCTTTCTCCACAAACCTACAAGCTTCGGCCTACCCGGTTTATCCAACAGTGTACATTGCAGCTCCTCTACATACGGACGATCAAACGACCGACATTGAAAACCTTGACCTGGCCAGGATGTGGGGTGTACTCTGGAGCTTGCCGCTGCACGTTGTCCACGTGCATAGAACACAGACTACTTCACCGACTACCCTGTTTTGCTTTGTTTTTTTTAACAAAGACAAATCACATTCACGAGGGTGCTGTGCGATGGTGATGCGCACCTACGTGCCTGTGGAGACTTGTAACTCGAATGTACATACAGCCAGGAGTACCGCCGTGATGCTCGACGATGTAGTCTACGCAAAGACTGGTCTACAAGCAGGTAGTCTAGCTTACTGAAATTGAGTCAGAACATTCGCGAATGGGAGGGCAACAGCAATTTATGGTACCGAGGATCACCTTTCTTTTCCGCAATACTGGCTTGTGGCACAGCAGTGTAGTCTTAGATAATGCAGATGTAGACTACAATCGCGCTGGACATGAAGTATGTGCCTGCACGGGGCTTGATGTAGACAATGTAGTCTTGTAGTAGTTTGCGTTATTTTGGTTGTGCAGTTCACGCGGACGCCCGGTGTACATATCGGAAGGAAGCCCTCTTCGAAGTTCACGAAAAAGTTGTACTTCGTACGTTATAGGGCTAACATTGGCAAATGTATAGTCGATATCCAGACCAATGCAACCATAGTCTCGGGGTCCTCGGAGGACATCTCATCGAAAGCTAGGATTTCGAACCCCGCGCCAGCTATCTACGGACACTTTCCATTTTTCCCCTTCTTTTCTTTGTCCTCGATTCTTTGTTTTTTTTGCTCTCTGCATCAGCCCCACAACATTGCCTGGTTCAGTACGTTCTTGCAACCTTCTGATGTTTCGGACGCTGGTTCGGATCTCGGTGCGGTCACGAGAACTGGATAATCTCTCAAAACATTGCCCAAAAAGTGTAAAGGAAACGATAGATTCGTGAATGCAAAACAAATCGACTTTGACGGTCGACGAGGGAAAAGAACAACTGACTCCCCCTCGCGATAAGTATTCAAGGCAAGCACCGCAGAAGGAACGTGAAGAGAAGCTCCTGTTGCGACCCCAGCTTGTGCGTTCAGACGGTGTACCGAATGGTTTCAGGACCGACAACCAGCAGAACGGGATACGATAAAAAAAAATAACATGCCCACAGAAAATACTGCAACAGTTAGTCTAGGAAAAAAGTGGTAGAAATGAAAATACCGTTGGTGTTTTGCTGAAGGTCGATGCTTGCAACTGTCGTTCTTGTTGCCTTGTTGTTCGGGCTGTGGTGGACAGTTTCCGAGAGGCATTTGAACGCTTCTACTTGGAATCTTAGTAGTGCGTGCGTAGAGCTCCCGGGGAAAAGAACAGCCCCCTCGAGAAAGCTTAGGACTATATTCCTTGGAGTGACTTCGTTCGGGGAAAGGCTACTGGAGGCCTGAGAATTGTTTTGGTTGGGTAGGAAAGGGCCCAACCTCTTCGGGACTGCAGCTAGGTGACTTGTTAACGACCAACGCTCTTGAAAAGTTAGTTGAAGAAGTTCGGCGGCGGGGGGAGGGGTACGTGGTCAGGCTTGCTTTCCGATGCCGACCCGCTTGCCTCTTCTCGATAGTATGCCCGCGCCACGAGTTTCATGTACAGCAGCAGTGCAATGCTATTGGTCGCCCTGACCCATTACACTCACCTGTTGCTTTCCCGAGGGGTGAGTTGCGTCCGATGTAGAGGACGTTGTCAGTAGAACATCTTACCTCTGTGCTACCAGTCAGCGCTGACTAAATTACCACACAAATGCACAAGGACAGCACACCCTCTGCCGAGTATTCAGGCGTCTACCATATGAAGACCCATGTAGAATATCCTTCACCATAACTCAAGCATCCCAAACTTCAGGCGGTTCCTCAGTTGCCGAACCTCCTTGCATCTATTCTATGGTAAGCACTCTGCATGATGAGCGATTCGGGACTGTTCATAATATACATAGCGGGAGAGCTACAAACAAGACATATCGCAACCGCCACGTCATACGTCTACGCTCCTACGGTCTCTCAGCCACGACCTCAGCGAAGTCTCCGGAACCCCATCCAAATTTCCCAGATTCTATTCCTCTCCCAACCCGCCGGTTCTCCGTTCCACATTGCGAGTTCCGTCTTCCAGACAGTAGTGGCCAACGGCATCGAAACCGCCCGGTTTTGTTTGCGGGTCTCTTGCGACGGGAGATTGAATCTCCGTTTTCGCCTCAGAAGACCCGCTTCCACGGCGCGGGCCAAGCAGGTGCAGAGCCATCCCTCTAGCAACAGTCGCTCGTGCTTCATCACCGTCATCTTGAACCGCACCGGCAACAGACGAAGAACCTCCACGATTCCTCAACGTGAAATCCTCTTGCCCGTTTCTGTCGTTGTTCCGCTGCAAGTCCTTCAAGAACCGCTGCATGAGCCACTTGCTTTCGTCTGCATCCGGCGGGAGGACGATCGACCCGTCTCTCCCCCTTGCCAACGCCCCCTGCTTCTGGTACCCTTCGAGACCTCCCTGTCCTGTGGTTGACAATTGCGCCGTTGACGACAATCGCCGGGCTTCACCCAGGTAGTCGTGTATTCCGTCACTATCGAGCAGTTTTTGATTGGTTCTCGACGCGCGACGGGTCCCCGCCCGGTCCTCAGCCGCGAGAACAATGTCGGCGAGGTTGAACTTCCCTCGTTTCTGCATCATGTTGCGCTTGAGGGCTCTCTGCACCACGAGGGTGGCCATGATCTTCTTCAGGTTGACGGGCCGGTAGCCGCCGGTCTTTGGGTGCGCGTGGTTCTCGTCGGAGAGCAGGGCGGCGCCGAGCCCCGCTAAGATCTGGAATGCCGGAACATGTAAATTGAGTGGGTGGTACTACAGCAGTTTTGTTCGGTCGTGCCGCCTAGAGTGCAACTACTACGGCAGTTGCCGTGGCTCTTCAAACGAAGGAGCCGCGACACGACCATGATCATGTCTTCGTAGTGTCGAAGACCCCGGTCAAATCTGTCTCGGACGATCTTCATGTATTGATGCTCGGTACGCCGATGCTTTCTTGACCACGGCTCTGACTTTCTGCCAAATAATGTGCGTGCTTCACTCGTTTTCTGAACCATTCTCAAGATTCCATGTCAGGTACCATGGCCATCAGACTGCGTCACCGTAGCAAAGAAGACACCGAGTATACAGGGTTTGCTGCTCACGGAACAAGACTTCCATAACAAAATCATTATGGGAGAATAGCACAAGGAAAGCACTGGCCTTCGCAAAGCTGTAGTCGAATCCTGGCGCCGATTTAAGCATTGTAGCATATCTGCCGGCCAGGGCGTGATTGCCTGCCGCACCTAAAGGCTTTTGCAGCTCCAGCAAAAACTGCGAGCTCATCGTGATTGAAAAGAAGGGACACGCGAGCAGGGGGATTGATAGAATCAGTCCTACACAACTATTAGTTGCCGCCACAGTCGCTTGAAGCCGAGTGTGTTCATTGATAAATCCATCTGGACAGTCCGATTGACGAGGTGTATGCATATATCAAAAGCGCCTCATCTTTTCACACGGACGCGTAGTGCCGCTTGTTGCAAGGATGTGCCCGTCCTGGGTTGTTTCACCGGTTACACAGATGTACACAGGTATCCCCGGCTCCTGTTTTTGTTGTAGAAACCCATTTCTTTGTGGCCACACAGTCTACCGACACTCTCTCATACGCAAACAAGCGTTCTCGCCTAATGAAGTATACCAACGAACGAGTTTCGGGGCAGTGTTTTTCTTGCAGAGCCGACGATTTCAACCGTCGGTCTCTGGTGTAGATCGAGTGTGTTGCCATACGTTCTCAAGAACCCAACCCCTCAAGATAATAGATCTCGGCCCTATACTTCAAACAGCAGGAACAACAATAGCGAACTGACTTCGAATACCTCCTGCTCTTACAAGTGTAAAATTGATCACTAGTTTCTCACCGTGAAGAGGTGCTTAGGTGGGAGTTTCCCGCTGCCTTTCGGGTCAATTTTTGTCCATGTCTCCTGGAAACACGGTATCGCGTCCTCAAGGTCCTGCCTTTCCATCGCGTTCAGAGTCTAGAACGCGCGTTGGAAGGCGTGTCACAGCGGTTGGTGTTGAGCGGGGGAAGAGTAGTGTCGTTCATATTCGAAATGTTAGGTTTTCAGAAGCTTCCTCCGCTAGTCTCGTGATTGTGATCGAGGCTGCAACAGTGATCTAGGTTTTCAGGGTGTATAAATTGTGCTGCAGAAGTCTGGACGGTTTGCAAGCAGCAGAGGGTGCGCCCGCTACTTCCCACTGGAAGCAGCAGTTGCGGGACATGCCAGAGGAAACAACACCATAGACCCATGTCGAGAGGGAATATGTCGCGCTGCCTGTGAACTTATAGTAGATGGCAGGATTACTGCGAGCAACTGTATTTTATCATAAAACCACGTGAAGAGCTCTGTGTCTTCTATTTACTACAGTAACTCACGTTGCATCGTGCTTACCTCGAACGTTTCGACGATCACCATGATGAAAAGGTTAGTCAGGATGAACTGCATGATGCTGCACCCCCCGGCCGAGCCGTCGATGGGACAGCCAAGAGAGGAGCATAATTATCCGGAATATCACGAGTAAAAACAGAAATGGGAAAAAGAACATCAGAGGTTTTCGTGTTCGTATATAGCAAAAGGATGATATTCAGCGTTTTTCTAGTCCGCGCTATTGATACGGAAGTGTATTCGAGATACACGTCAGCATCCAACGTCCGTGACGTGTTCACGACAATCACAAAATGACCAAGGCGACATGTCAGGCAAAGCCTACACATACAAAGGCGACAAGCCAGGCAAAGCCTACACACACAAATTGCGCTAGGGCAGACGACAGAGATAGTCAATCGAGATCTTTCATAGCCGACCCTTAGACCCAAGGTTTTTCACGGCAGACGAACGCGATACACATGGAGTATGGTTGTCCTGGGCTGCAAACCCGCGTTTGTCGCCGAGGTCAGCAGATCGCACGCCAGATCAGATTCCGATTTGGGGGCACTATCATCATTGACTTACACGACAAACGTGACGAAGAACCCAAAGACCACAGCGTCTGGCTGATCCGCTTTCTCGGCCACTTTCGAAGCGTACTCCGCCCATGCCTCTCCCGTAGCCACAATAAACAGTAGCTCCATAGCATGCCAAACTGACGAAAAGTCCTGATACAGGTTCATCGTCGTTTTCTACAGGTACACACGAAGCGGTGCAGCGTGTTACGGGCAGCGTGGGGAAGGCCAGCAGGGTGGCACCGTCAGGAAAATGTCAGAGTATATTGTGCCTGCAAAGCAATGGAGGATCCCGTGGGAGATATCGGCACGTTCGAAACTGGACTTGGACGTGTCAGATCTATTGTTTTAACCTTCGTGTCTCTGGTTCTAGACACGGCTAGTCACTCTCCTCAAGCCACGCTAGTGGAACTAGGGTCGCTTTATGTTGCATGGTCAGAGCGTGGCAGGTTTACAAATAGCTTGGGCGGCTTTCCACCTGACTTTGGACGTTTTCAACCTCGAAAGCAGTGAACACGAAAGACATCACCTTTCGTCGTCCGTGATACGACTCAGGGTCGTTCGATCGCCCTCTTCACCATGTGGTTGTTGCATTTGTTGGTGTTTCCACCGGCAAAATCGTTGTACCCAACTTCCCAAAATTTCATACCCCATGCTGATCCTGCGCATTGCCTGCACCCAGAGGCGATTCCATCAACCGCAGGTTTTTCGACGTGAACGTGGCACACAGTTGTTATTCCGTGTGCATCAAGAACGCCGGTTGCTCGGACAAACACAAAATGCTTTACCTCTATCTCGACATCCGAGAACAGAGCCACCCCCATGTTGGCGAAGACGTACACTCCGATCCCCAGCAGCACGAAAACGTTGAGCAGCACGCGCGCGGGGTACGTGCATGCCGCCAAGATTTGGTCGAAGCCCGGAATATGTGTCGCCAGTCGAATGACTCGCACCACTCGCAGGGACCGAACCAGGGTGAGGATGACGATGTCACTACTTTTTCGTTTCAAGGATAACGACGGGAGAGACACGGCACCACGAAAGGTCATCTGTCAGTATATGTACAATATTGATACTGGTGTTCTCGGCAACAAAAAGGAAGGAGAATAACGGGGGGGAGGACAGCTCGTGGATGGCGACAGCTTCTGTTCTGCTGGAAGCTGTCGTTGGAGCCTGGGGTGTGACTGGCCAAGCCCGTGACGATCCGCCGGTACAATTGATGTCGGATAAGGTACGGGTGTCTTGGCGTGGCACTGCTTTCCCCGCAACACAACCAACAAGTCTAACAGAAGTAATGACCAACGGATGAATCACGACGGGCCAGTTCCTTCGCACCGTCAACACACCAAAGAATGTATCATTTTTTGCGTGGCTGTGGAAGTCACCAGGCGAATGACGAGCGTCACTCGCAAGGCGCCGACAGGGGAAACAACCCCCGAAAAACCGCGGCCACCACGTTCCACAAGAAGAGTCCAGTCATAGAGCCGACAAACACTCGGGTCACGATGTGTGACTTTTACCACCAGCAGCCCCGTCATCGCGGGGAATAAACTCACCCCGAACAGGCACCGCTGAGGTCCATAACGAGGTCGATCAGGGAGGCCATGGTAACGACGAATTCGAATATCTGCCGTCCCGTGGAGAAGTAGCACCGGAATCCGAGGCCGTACAGCATCAGACACGTTTCCACCACGAAGATCGAGGCGAAGGTGTGGTTGAAGATGTCTTGGGCAGTCAGTTGCCAATCCGGCGCGTCCACATGATCTGCTCATGGGCGTTTGTGTTACGGTTCGATGTTCCTCAGTTAACGCCCCCTCCTACTATACAATACCGACCCCGTCCGCGCTCACCTCGCTCTTGGTACGTTTTCTGAAAAGTGAGCCAGTGGAAATGTGAAAGACTGGTGGAGAACTATCGCCACAGAACAGCAGCACAACGTGGTCTACCGTCGGTACTTCCACCGTAGTCCACGTTGTGTGTTGGACATACGATGTACAACGGCCCCTCACATACGGCATATATACACTTGAGACTGCACAACATGAAATGTTTTCTCCCCTTACCGACGGCGAGGACGACGGTGTTCACGACGAGCACCGTCACGATGAAATTGCTGAAATTGTCGGCCAGGACCAATCGCTGGACGCGAGCCCTCCAGGGATGACCAACACAGCTACAAGGGGCCACAGTCGGCACCACCTCAGGCGGCAGCAACCACAGCAACGAGACAATACCGGATGAACAGGGGCGGGGGGCACTCACAGTCGTGCATGCCGTGGTCGTTAGACCATTGACGGATGCGGGGGGCACTTTTTTGTCGTAGAGCATCACATGAGAAAATACTGGAATCATCCCATCAAAGCCTCCGTTGAACCAGATGTGCGGTGAAATCACTTTTATCGCGTGAGCGCTCCCCGCGTTTTTGCGTTGATTCATGTCTGGCAAGCGAGCTTCTTTTGTGCTACACGAACAACTGGTAGGCATCGAACCGAGGCCAGGGGACGTTCAAGGGCACTACGCAGCCATGCGCCCGCCGTTAGAGTTGAAGTGTGAACTGGTGTGCCCCTTTGTCGCTTCGCCACGCGATGTACTTGCCCCACCAAACAAGCAAAGGCATGTTACCATTGTGCCTTGCCCGAAATCGTCCATTTACCAAGCCGCACACTCCACCTATGGTTAGCGCCTGTTCCCGCTTCCTTTCACACCTGACTTAAGCGTTTCTCGTAGTCCCGCCATCGTCGTTCCGCCTGAGATATGAGGTTCCCCATGCTGTCCATGTTCTTGAAGGACAGAAAGGCCTCGAACATCACCCCGACGAAGAGATTTGTAATGTAGAAGCCAAAGACAAGTATCCCACCAAAGAAATACCAGAAGGCTTGCGGCTGCTCGCAAATCAGTGCGACATATTTCGAGTCACGAAGGGGAGAAGAACAAAGATGGAGGATTAAGGGGTGAACTCATAGGCGACGAGAGAGCTACACGTACGTAAATGATTCCGCCCGAACAAGTTGAGCACAACGTTCGATTGAGTGTTCGACACAGACGCCTCGGACATCGCCTTGATGATGATCACGCCACAATATCTACCAAAAGAAAACTCTTTACTTCTTCAGATGAGAAAATGGCTGTCGTGTCTCACCCGACTTAACGGCTTCGATCTCCAACCGACATCCACAAGAGGACAACCCTATTTTGACTATAGCCAAAAGACGCCAGTTGTCCCCATCCAGGAAAACGTCGGTCCATGCAGACATGATTCCATGACCGGAACAAGTTTTCGATAAAACGACAGCAACATGAACTCGAAGACGGTGACGATGACAGCAACACACACGTCTGCTATCGTGCCTTTCAAGCCAAGAGGGGAAGAGCTCCCCGCTCTGCTCACGTTGTAGTTTTCCGATGGCTGGTGGTCAACCATGTAAGCGTCCATTGCGTGGTGGTAAATTTCTACCCAGCCGTCGAGGGTGGTGACAATCATCGCCGACAGGATCGCTGGTCCGATAGAATCGAAGTGATACCTGAGGTTCCCCGATAGCGAAAGAGAGAAACACAATCGGCGGCGTTACATTAGGGCATTCCCGTGCCCGGTACTTGAAGGAGAGAGGGGAGAAAGGGGAAATAAAGTTTTCTATTATAACACGAGAAATGGTCTCACTAACAGTACTCACAGCTTGAACATGATTCAACAAGCAGGAGAGGCTGGGTGCAAACTCGTGCGACGGGGCGAAAAGATGAAGCGGGGGACTCTTCTTTCCTGGGACGGTAAGAGTCAGTACCATTTCGTCTCTGCCCGTAGCCTGAGCCCTTAACCCAGGACGAGGGTGCGGGTTCCATCCTTGAGTACCCTGCACGCATCGGGGTTCTGCCTTGCAACATTGTACGTTCTTACGCGAAGCTGTGCGTCCAACCGCCACAACTCGATACTGTACCTCTAAGTCAGATGAAAGAGCACGAAAAATGGAGACCAACGCACAGATATTTTTCTTTCTCTCACTCACACGTAGTTCTCCCACTCGAAGTCCCTCGTCTCCGGCAGGCCGGTCGCCGGGTTCACCCAGTCCCCACTGCACGGTGCACTTACCCACACGTTGTTGTCCGCGTCGTATTCTCCATAGCGAGACATTTTGGGTGGGAACTCAGGATCGCTGATGGCCCAATACACGGGGGGAAGAGACGATAGTAAGAGGGTGCGCCTAAAAGGAGGTCTCGCATGCATTGGTTTCTTACCTTGCTACCAAACACGGCAAAAATCCCACCGCAGTGCAGTAACCTTCCGAGACCTTGGCGTACTCATCTCCTCTAATCCGTGCATCGAAGATAGTGTTTGAACATGTTGCAGAAAGGCGCGAGGCCTGCTTGTACGTGGTAGCTAAATTCGACGTGTCATTGGGGAGACAATTCCCATTCAGTTGTTGGCAAATCTGTGTCTCGACTTGATGTGATACGAGGCAGAATCCGAAAGGGAGTGAAACATCACCCCCACGTTGAGTCTCAGGGCACTTTTTGTCGCTATCCTTTTTGACTAAGTCATCAGAGGAGAGGTCCTGCTTGTAGCTGTCATCCCAAATCTACTGCGTGAACGTAAAAGCTTTGGAATAGGCGTTCTATCGATCCCCGTGACACCGCTGGGAAGTTTTTGCGGAAGAAATACAGCGGAAGACCCGTCCCCACTTGCGTCGGTTGGGTACCTGCATGAGTAAAACAACCCTCCGAAGACTTCCACGCCGACCATGCTATAGCCTAGCAGGAGGGTTGCAATCAGCACCAGCAACGTGCCACAGCTCCTCAATGAATGCACCAGGGCCTCCGACATTTCCTGCAGAGACTGGGCAGAGGAACCAATCGAAGGCGGATGCATACCGTCGGTTAGCAGATGAGGCGCTCCTGCAGCAAACGTTGGATTTAGATGACTCTCAACTTAGCTAGAAACCACTTTCCATCTACACCTTCTATGAACGTTGTCCGGCCGACAATGAAAGGTCGTGTCAAGATCGCGAAATATGACAAGTGATATCAATACATGAAGCCAATGAAATGCATTTCGTATGTCGAAGTCTCGACGTTGAAGCCTTGGTCAAAAGGCAGTCGAAACACCACGTTTTTCCTTGGGCGTGTTCACCTTGACGCGATGGATGATACGTAGGGGGCGCGCTGACTTCACAACCTTCTGGGCGCGGTTCGTCCCTTGTATGCCAAGGATCTGAGGAGAGTTTTCGGCAGCAAGACATGATCGGGGTTGGGCGAGAGAACGGGTGCGTACAGTATGGCTGAAAGGCTGTTGCTGCTGTTGTTTCAAAAGTGTTCTGGCCCCATACTGTAACCCGTCTCCAAAGCTCCTAACCCTCAGTAACGTGGTCACGAACAAACCCACAATAGGTAACATGCCCAGAAAACTTGTTGCCGCGGGGTGTGCGTGCGGCAAGGGCAACAATTCAGAACGTGAAATGAGGTTGAGCCCATTGCTCCACTCGGAAGCTGAGGCACGGACAAAAACAGTACTTGTTAGTCTGAAGCTATTCACCTTGCACCTTTTCAGTGTGCCTGGCGTTGAAAATCTCGTATGTTGCTTTACACACATACATGCCAAAGGCCATAAGATTGAGTTCCAGCGACTGGCTGTCTCGATGTTTTTCTCTGGCGGTATCTCGCTTTCGGCGACAATTTTACGGTCATTCATGTGGATGTCACGACGGACGGCTAACAGATCTAATCGTGTTTCCCTCTCACCGTAGCGAAAGTGCAAGCACCGTGAGACACGACGAGGTACACGTCGAAGAGCACCCAGGGGTTCCTGAGGACGGCGTCGGGGCCTGCCCACCAACTGTACACGCCAGCGCGGAGGCAGAGCTCCGCGCAAAAGGCCGCCAGGCAAACCGTGTCCAACACTCCGGCCACGCTAGACAGATCCTCTGTCTCGTACAGCGACAACACGCTAGCGACACAGAGTAGAAACAAGAGAGCGCGGGAGGAAAGATAGAAACAAAGACCACCCGATAAGCGCGTTTTACTGTACTGTAGCCATCTCTGTTGGTGAATAGACCGACTGTGTCCATGGGCCTCGTGGGGTTCTTCATGGAGGCGATGAAGTGCACGAACATGCTTTCTGCACGCGTGCCCATCACATGATCCTTGTTTCTTCCGTCCGTCGAGGTCCGAGAGGTTCCCTACTCTGATTTTGATTGATTAGTTTTTGTGTTTCCCACCTCCATTACCCTAGCTTTAATCCCGACTCCACACTGATTATTCGGTGGAACAATAATTTTGTGTATGAGGTTGGACCCAGGCCACGGTTGCGTCGTGGCGAGACTACGAAGTCTCCCGCTTTCGAGGTGACCAGAGCAGAGACTTTGGGTTCAAAGATAGCTGGGAGCGGAGCCAATGAACTCGCAGACGGCCATTGACCGTGTAGACCACATCCTAGGACTAATCCGGAAGAGCCTACGGAACAAATGGAGCGGGACGTTGTCAACTACCGTGCCATAGGCACATAGTGACCACAGCTCAAAGCCATGTCTTCGAGGATATCTTCGTTGCGACTATAATGGCGAACGAAACTCACATGCTGCCGAGTACTAAGCCTAGCATCACGGTTTCGAAGGAACGAGCTGCGACTATTTCGCCGCACCATTGTCGCGCCGGGCTCTTTCGCACATGCCTGACAACCAAATATGCGCGCCGATGCGACGATGCTGTTAAGCACTTGTGCACACTAGGATAATTAAACATCGCGGGTGTACACACAAACACATTGTACCTGGTCCATGACCTAGCGATGGGAAGGGTCGTACAGTTCTTGTACGTGTCTCGACCCATTGTTTTGAATTCAACGACCACCGTGTTCACTTCAAACTTCTGGCTTGTGTGGGCTTCGCGGGAAGATGTGATCTTCCTTCTCATTCCCCTACCTCTTTAGTAGCTACACACAAGGAACCAATCGCACGCAGCACCGACGTCATTGGTGGAGTCAGCGTTCATCGAGATTCTCGAGATGCTACCTACAAGAGACGGTTCATTTCCAAGAAATCCAGAAAGGCGGATTTGGCCTATTTTCTTGCGTCACATTCGGTTGTCTCTCACCACCGGGTCCAGGTGGCCCTGTCGACGCGGGCGCCGAAGATGCGATCGAAAACATTCCACCATTTGGGCGTCTCCTTCTTTATCATCATCTCGCTGAACATCCCGTACAAGGCCTTCGGAAGCTTCTGTTATGCAATGACACAGCAGCGACATCCACATGGAGCAGAAATATGATGAAGAGAGTTAGATACAAACCAGGGAGTGGCGGAAGTACAGTCCCTTGTAGTGCATGACCAGCTGAAGTTGGCAATTCTTGAGAGGTCTGACGTAGCGTCTCCTCCGGATCGAGCGACAGGTAAAGGAGGTGTGGATTCGGTTATTGAAAAACAGGTCAAGAGTACCGTACTTGCTTCCGTCCTTTATCGACTCTTTCTCTCCAGCACGTGGCACTGTTTCCTTGCCAAGCGACATCACCGCTAATGAGCGGCAGAGTTGAACCGGAAAAAATGAGCGGTTTGGAGTACAGATGAGTAACAGGTGTAAGGTGAGGAAGGTTTGTTGTGGGAAAACGTTTAAAACCTGATGAATACCTCGATGGCCCCGTCACGAACATTGTTCTCGCAACCGGTGGCTCCCTCCTCTTCACGACCATCTCGTGTAGCCTCTCGAGGGCGCTCTCCATTCTCGCTAGCAGGAGACCAAACGAAGTGTTCCCCTCTCGCTTGGCGTTCCGTTTCCCGTCCTTCGAGCACTCTTTTGCCTTGGCTGGAAGGCGAGACACGGCGCCGATCGCGATAGCTTCTTCTAGCCGTTTGTCTTAGCCAGTTCTTCTGCCAAGTACTGTCAAACCCGTCCGGCGGGGTCATCAACTTCTCGGCATTCGTACGCTCCGGGCGTTCATCGTGCACGAGAGCCTCACCTGCCACCAACAGCCGGTTCCTTTCCTCGCCAACAGGGGGACGACCAACACCGCCCCCCTCTATAGGAACCTCTTGTTCAATGTTCTGGGCCCCGTGCCCGTTGTCTTCTGCTCCACTCGGCGGTGCACCGGGCCGACGGCCGATGCTCTTCTTACCCTTGTATTGACTCTCCCAACGTCTTCCCCAGACCCTGTCGAATTCATCTTGTGGGGTCATCAACGTCTCGGCAGACTTACGTTTCCGGCGTTCGTCGTGCTCGAGAGCCTCACCAGCCACCAACAGCCGGCTTCCTTCCTCATCAACAGGAGAACCAACAACTTTCTCCCCCGCTGCATTCGTGCTCTGGGCCCCGTGCCCATCGTCTTCTTCGACACTCGACGGGACACTGGGCCGACGACCGGTGCTCTTCTTACCCTTGTACTGTCGCTGCCAACTCTTTCCCCAAACTTTGTCGACTTCCTCTGGTGGGGTCACCAATTCCTCAGTCGCGGTAGGTTCAAGGCGTCGCCCGTCTTCCATAGCCTCCTCACTTGTTGCCGATAGCGGGCGCCCTTCGCTGACGCTGGCAGCAGAATGAGCCGCGGAATCCTCTCGTCCTGCCGACATCCCTTTCTCCTGCCCCCGTCTCACGCTCTTGCCTTGGCGGCGAGGTTCGCATCCTGTACGGCCGCGGGGACTCTTCTTCCTCCGCTCCCGTTGCCAACCGGTGTCCCAAACTCTGTCGAATTCGGCCGGCGGGGTCATCTGCCTGTCGAATTGGTCTGGTGATGTCACATGTCTATCGGCCTCTGCCTTTGGGGACGAAGTATCACGGCGAACCAATCGGTTATCGTCGCTTTGGTCACCGTCACTGACGCCGTGACGAGTGCCACTAATGTCCGCCGCTCCCTCCTGGGCGGCGGCAGCATGGGCTGCGGTAGCAGCCTCCTGAAGCGGCGCTTGGGCGGACGCGCCCACATCGGTTTGGTGGTGCGATTGGGGTAAAGGAAGTAAACACGACGACGGTGTTGGTGGTAACGGATGTCGCAAGGAAAGCGAAGAAGATCTTACACTCGGCGGCGGAGGGGCGCGCAGAGCATGACCTTCCTGGCGCGACAGAACCAGACCCCCGTTGCGGGGCGATGCAGAGGTGTCGGAAGCGGGGAACCCGGCGACATCGACAACAGCGGAAGACGAAGAAGAAGAAGAAGAAGAAGAAGACGAGGGGCGGCCGGGTCGATACGGTGTTGGTTTGGGGAAGTCCTCGAGGCCGAGTTTCTCCGCTCTGTTTCCTGGGAGAACCAGTACTTGGCCTGCATACGATCGAAAGCGAGCGATGGTGCGGAGGGTGGGAACGAGTCGATGTACTCGGCAGGTGAGAAAGTTGCGAAATGAGTTGTGGATGAGACAGGAAAACCTCAGCACGGCACTTGGGGTTGATGAAACCAACAGCTTCTTTTAGGAGCTTATCCTTCGGCCTCAAGATATCAAGCTTGCGTGGGTACGGAAGTAGTGTAGTACTAGCAGGCGGTGGCGTTGGCCTAGCGTTAAATATGTGTAGCCTAGATTTCAGTAAACAATAGACTAAGCCGTCTCTTTCAGCGTATTGTTGCTCCGGACAGTAGCCTGCTGCGCAGCGCCCGTAGATAGTTTGTTTTTGGGAAATGGACAAAAAGCGGGTGCACCCGCCCCTTTATCGTACAGACGTGTGCTCGAATACTTGCGTTGCGGAGACCGCTCAAAATCTCATTTCGACGCCTAGGCGTCATGCCCAAGGCCCATGCAGAGCATGAACACCACTTGTATGCTGTGCATGGACCGTGTCCATGTTGTTCAGGCATCGGAATGAGACTTTGAGCGGTTCGACCCTGTCACGAGTGGTCTCCGCAAAAGCAAGCTTTCGAGTACCCAGTTATGATACCCAGTTTTGTCCATTTCTCAATTCATTTTGTTGCCTCCACCATTCTGATATATGGACTCCACCCATTTGCGTATGTATCTCGCGGAAACACCGCGCACACACCTCGCTCTAGCATGGCCTCGGCCCGGGTTTTCGCGCTCCACCGTCGCATCGCGAGACGCTTGTACTGGTTATGGAAGAGTCTGAGGGTGTTGTCGCGAAACTGCTGCGCGGCGTGCTTCTCCTTCATGTGGTCGCTCGCTCCCTCCAGGACAACCGCAAGAACAAGATTGAGCAACACCGACTGCCAATGCAAGAAGAACGTTCCAACGGGGGGAAGGGTAGAGTTTACTACTCGGACACGCGTCACAAAATTTCACAACATAAATATACTGGTGTTGCTTGTGGTCGAAGGATAAGGGAAAGCTCGGTGAGTGAAGAGCGGACGCGAGAGGTGAGGAACGTCACAAGGTCTGTTTGTAAGAGGTCTTCTTTGGATAAGAACATCGTTCGTAAGGAAAGAGAGGAGCAAATATCGATGCCCGGAATTACACTCGTGAGAGTCCGCCAGGTGTGCTCATATCTGATTTTGAGCAGTTTTAGTCGGACATCGAGACGAACGGATCAATAAACCCATGTCATTTCAAGCGACCTCAATCCATTATGATGATTGGTCTACCAGGCGACCACTAGTGGGGGGGGGGGGGGGGGGGGGG